GTCGACACCTCCCTCCTCCTCTCCCACCCGTCAACCAATCGGTGTCGAGCCTCGCGGCCACGCTTTTATCCAGGCTTCACTTTTAAGCTTCACAAAATGGCCGAACCCCTAGCCAAAGAACGTTTTCCGTTAATATATTTATACCTAAAGAAGGGCCTGCGCTGCGACACCGAGCACGACATCAGCACGTGAAAGGTTGTGCTCAGTGCCGCTGCGGAGATCGCTTTTTCGCGCGAAGAGGAGTGCAGACCGCTTTTCACGCGACAATTTCTAAACCGGAGTACCGTCTGTCAACCAACGTCTGACTGTATGAAGAATTGTTCAGTCAAGCGATTCACGAATTTATACCGAAGCTTTAACATAATAAACCCTGTGGTTCTTAAGCTGACAGTTACCCTAATAAACTCGACTACGTGTTGCTGCCTATAAGAAGGCAAAGGCTCTCAGAAAGTGGGAAGGCTTCACACCTCTATTGGACACCTTATTCATTCTGATCCTAGAGAAGTGTCATTTAGCGGGCAAACCTTCTAGGTCAACTCTCTCCCTGCTTTCGGGCGCGTTTACGGGAGATCGGTGGTCGAGTGTGTCAGCGCACCGCAGCTCGGAGCACCGTGGAACCAAAGCTCGCGCTGCAAAACCCAGGGATCCCATGCGTTCACTCCCTACCACTGCCCCTTTCGATCTGGATGAGCATCGTACCGGCGTTCCGTTTTGTATCACTATTGCGTGGTGGGCGTTAAAGACTCCCCCGATTACCGGTGGTAATGCACTGGCCAAATTTCTCATCTACACCGTAAAACCAGTGACGTCGCACCTCAAAGGCAGACCGACATATACGCTGTATAAACACAAACGTTTTCATTTTTCGTTTTTTGGTTTGGAAACGCGGCTGCACTGCCCTCTCAGTGACGCAAACAAACTCTAGATCATTGGTTTTTTGTATTGTTATTATTTGAAGCTACTGATGTTTGTCATGTCGGTGGCTGCCTCTCGGTAAAAACCGAAATTGCAGAGAAAAAAAAATCACCAACGCAGAACATAGCCTGTTGTGTTTATATATAATCATTTTTGGTATTTACTAGAAAAATATACTCGGTGCTCGAAGTTGATTTCTCCGATGGCTAATTTGAATACAACGTCTGAGTCTACCATAAATTAATAAACATGGTTGCCATAGAATGATTTAAAAAAAAAAAGTAATTGATAATTACAGCTTATCACGTGAGGATCAGCTGCAGTTGCATCATTAGCTTATTATTATGCGAGAAAACCCTACGAACAAGTATCAGTAATGCAGTGCTTTGTATCCGCATTTACAAACTGTCGCATAAGCAACGTGACGCCTTGACGTCTTATGGAAGTCCTTTTTTTTCCCCTCGTTCTAAAACAGAAATAAAATAAGTTCGTATCGTCTTGAGTGCACGTTTGAGACTTGTGAACGCTAAAACAACGGTAATGGAACAAAATCCAGCCTGCTTGGTAGAGTTAACATTCACACGTCTATAGAAACGGCGAGGTTCACGCACATCCCACTTTGAACTATTAGAAGGCTTCGTAAGCACTATTGGCTCTATGGCTTCCTGCCTCAGGGTGATTTCGAAATTAAAATTCATCTCGCGTTCCCCGGAAACGCTCCAAAATTAGCTCGGGTTTTTTTGTACGCATTTTGTTTTATTTTTATTACACGCGCGTGTAGGCTCACGCTGCAATGCCCAAAGCCTCTGCACCAGGACTTACTATGACAAGACTAAAAAGAAAGAAAAAAAAAACACAGCAAAGTGAAAAAGTAATAAAGTCAGTTAAATCTGCTTCATTTTCACTCGGGTCGTATGTGCAATTCTAAAAACACAATTAAAAAAAGAACTGCACAGGCGAACAAGATGGAGGGCGGTTTAGAGAGCACCGTATCGGACCACCTGTAACAGCTGCCGGAACACTTGTAGCTTTGGCATGTGGCACCGGAGCCACAGCGCAGTAGATAGAAGCCGCTGACGTCTACCTTGTTTCTGCGCCGCGTGCGCCACGTTGAGGCTCCGTGGCCAACGGGGCTAGGGCTTCGTAACCCACCCTAACGTTTCTTACCTGGCTAGGAAGAAATCGGTCCGCTTCCTTTGGTCCCTCCGTCGCACCGGCGCTTGACGTTTCCTTTGCATTTTTGTTGTTTTATTCTCGCAACAACAACTTACCGATTCCTGTTTGACAAAAATTACATGGGAAAACTATATCTGAAAGCAGTTATATAAAACTGCCCGGAGCGAAGGCTACATATGTTTATTGTTTTCCGGTGATATGTCTGACCGAAACGAGCTGAATAAAGTCACGGACAGAGTATTATCAAAGGCCGTGATGGTTCATCAAAGTACAAAACACGCAAACAAATCGCACTTTATTCGCTAAGCCTTATACAAATTGTGCATGAATAAGAAATACTAAATACTACATCCGGCCATAAAGTGTATTTCAGCAGTTGAAAATAAGAACACCGAGTAGAAGTTTATATGTATCTCACACGACAGATGATTGACCAAGATATATACTATAAATATGCCCGGAATATTTCGGGCATCGTTAGAGACAAAGTCCTGAATAAGTTCACTTTTTATGTCACAATCATTACGCTCTTTCATGCCAACTCGAGCGCTGCCGACGCTACAAGTATTATATGCTATGGAGACATTCAAACTACAGAACAGAAGACGTTTGTTTTGCGCCTTCGTGTGCTTACCAGGGTGTCCAAGTGTTCAGGGCACAATACAACCAGACACCTCCGTGTGTGTGAGCTTGCATACTGAGTTTACGCCGCTATCAGGCTCCGGGGGAAAGGTTGTTCCATCTTAGTAATTGTTTTTTTTTTTCAATAACTGTTTAATTTTTATAATTTCCACAAACACAGACAGCAAAAACACCGGCTACCGCAATCTTTGTATAGAGGATATAGACTAGCTTGGGAATCATCTTTTGTTCATCCAGGTAGGTCACGTCTTGGATTCTGTGAGCAGCAAAGTGTTGACCATGAGGGGGAAAAAGCTGCAAAAGTCGGAGAGTGTGGTGCTTCGAACGTTCAAACCGCGAGAAGATGCCGTTGGGTACAACAGGTGCGCCGGCCATTACCTCGATGAGGCGACGTTCTTGCGTGATTCAATGGTCGGTGAGAGCGTGGTTACAATGTGAAACACCAACTGCGTCGGAAATCTTGTACGACTCCCAAGGCGCGAACGAGAAGCTCGGCACATCTACAGTCAGGCGGCTCAACATCTAAGCCAATATAAGGTCAACTGACGTAGACAGCTTGCAGATGTTTGGCCACAGCTGTTGGCGTGCACTTCTTGAAATTGATCTCAGTAATGCGCGCCTCGGGAGAAACGAAAAGAAAGCCTAGGCTTCTCTTATTCGAATCTCCTCGTAACAGTGCTCTAAGTTGTAACTCGTAAGCCGTCCTGCGTCCGCGGTATCTGGCTCGCAGGCTTCAGTGGAAATGTCTACTTGGAGCTGCAGTGTTCACAAAGGCAGCCGTTAAAGTCGTCCTTCACACAGAAAAACATGACATCTGACATGTGACATTTCTGGCATCTAACACATGCTAGAAATCGAACGTTTGTGGCGGTGTCGGTGTCGGTATCTTTAGAATTGCATGCGTTCAGATTGTTCACTACACCCGAAATTGTGCTTTCGCGGGTGGTATCATATTGAAACAAAAAATGAGAAAAGAGACAAGCTATCCACCTCTTTTGTTCCTTCGTGCAGGAGAACACAAAAATAAAAATTGTCTCATACTTTCACTTTGTGTGGGCTCACTAATCCTGACACCACATTGCTTTCTAAAAATCCGAAGTCTGCCAAATGAAACATTCCTTCATACTAAAATGTTTTATGATTGAGAAAAATACATTACACTATAATATATATCTCTACGGGAGTTTTCTGTGTTCAGCGTTGACGTGAAAATCTCGAGTGTTTTGTATCTCTTGCTGTGAATCATCGGAGGAAAATCGCGTGGGTTGTGCACTTTTCGTTGTTTTGTATGTAATACGTACTGTATACAATGCATGAGTATATCATTCACTGGATAAGACCGCACAACCTGCTCATCTTTCTGATTATTCAAACAACGTTTTTTATACACCTTTTATATTTCATGCTGTCTTCAATGTCCTTTGATACTCGAGTACAAATCAGAAGGCAACCTTGTTGGTGGGAATTAATCTATGTTTCCGCTTTCAGCGCGCTCAGACATCAAGCCGCTAATTATGATCTTTCTGTGGCTTGCCGAGATGCCTGGCCACTGAAAGAGACGAGCCCCTACAAAGCCTGCGCTAGTAACAAGAACACTGTGGGGTCGTGAAAGGCACAAACCTTCCTTGTACAAATAGTTGTGAAGTGAAGTGACCGAACGAGAAAGACCCAAAGAGTCCGTTATGGCTTTATCTTTTATGACAGTCCGCTTTTTGCAAACGGAATGCAGGTGCCACTACCAGAAAGAGCCCACACATATGCGTGTAGTTTTAATTTCTTTTTTGGTTTGGATGAAAAAGAAACCGTAATAAAAACTCCTCGCTTGAAGTAGCGGTACTGCTGTACTGACTAATAACTCTGTGGTAACTGATACGCCAAGCTGGACCCACCCAGTAATGATGAGTCATTTTTGGAAAATTTCACGGGTGGGTAGGTAATCTGCTCATTAACAACTTTAAAACTAAAACAAAATAATAATAAACGCTCAAGAGAACAATGTGAAACCTTGATCTATATTTATTAAATAGAAACATATCTCGGAATTCCGATTTTTATTTTTCACGTGTTTGTAGCTCGTTCATTTCGTACCGTATACGTATGCCTGTGAAGGGACACAATCAATCTACGTCGTACATAGCTTGTATTCCTTCCTCTCTCTACACAACGTAAAGATAGAAGAATTTATCTAAACTACAATGGTAAAAATGAGATTCTCACACCGTTTTCTAATGATTTTTAGATTGTCACAGTTTGTTGTGTTACGTTTGCATGTTTTATTCGTTGGATACTTGAACGTACCAAAATATCTCCGTGTGTTCTTTTTTTTACATATTTACAGCTATCGCAGTTCATTGGCGACTTCGTTAGCAGCAGTTTCCACCCTGACCGGCAGGATGCGAGTCCCGAATTCTGCCGGGGCTATCTGTAACGAGAAAATTGCACACTAAGTGTCAACATTTGCTCTCACAAAATAATGATTTTTGCGAAAAGTCTCTTTTTGTCAAAGTAAAATTACCTTCTGCGAGCTAGAATATGAAGAGCAGAGCAAGCTGGTGAAGCCACCGCAGTTCATCCAGGTGTAAATACACGAAACTCAAAACCCTTGATACAAGGAGCACCCAGAATGTAAGTACCTTTCGCAGATAAGTGCCGCGAGGGTATTTGCTTCTGTTTTGATCATGCGCAGTTGTGATCTCTCATTTATTAGTCACATCCTGATGCCATTTTGTGACACTATGAATATTTGTGCAGTTTGTGGTATGCACTACACAGTACACCCCATAAAAGGCGTTAGAGCTGCTGGTGGGTACTTTGTTGAAAATAAATTAGTATTATTATAATATTACTATTGCTAATAATCCTTATGAAATCAATATAATGACTCGCCGGCACTGAAGTCCGGTATGTGATGGAAATTTTGAATGTGACAAAATGTCATACCATGCAAACCATGAAAGATTCATTGACAAATTTACAGAAGTTACAGATTGAGCGCAACAAGTGAAGGAACGGTACGGAAACGGGTTTGAATGTTTAAGAAATGCAACAAAACTTTCACGATGCATTGCAGAGCAGTAAGCTGTCTCAGGTCACTGATAAGTTCGTGTAGGAAATCAATTTTAGGAAAATATTCTGGGGAGCCAATGCTTTACAACTTATTGTTTTGCAATACGTCTCCATGAAGGTTTGTAATGATCGTTTTGCGAAAAAAAAAAAGCAAAAAAAAACACTCCAATAGAATTTTAAAAAAAATTCGCGATAGATGCCAAAGACGTTGAGTCAAAACTCGGGCGGAAGAGTTCCATGATTGGAGTATCCAAAAATCTGTACCACGATTTAAGAAGTACCTTAACGTCGAAACGGTTACGCCGGAAGGACTTGTTTTGAAAATAAAGCAGTGCACAAACAAATGTTGCATAAGTGTCTTATTTTAAAACGGAACTTACTTTCTGGCCGCGTCCTGTACATATACATGTATCCTTTTTACCAGAGACTGCCTACTTCCATGGTCAATCTACTCGCGCAATGGTTTCAGCCATTCAAAGATCGCAAACCATCTGATATCGCACAACTTCATGTTTAGGACGCCAGACATTGTGCAACTTTTTGTGAACTCGCTACTAAATTCAGATCCGTAGTCTTACTTTTTGGTTTGGCGCACAACAGTTATAGCCCTAATGACCAGAGCCCAAAGATCGCAAATTAGGTATTATATTTTATTCGTTTCCGCACGAAGAGTTCACGTGACCCGGAGGCAAAAGCATAAAGCTGCTTAAGTAGGGCGGAAAAGGATTCGCTGCAGTCTCCAAAAGTCACAGGCCGCGTTAAGGCCTAGTTTCCCTGCTTGCCCAAAGCAACTATGAGCGGTACTGCGTGATCACTAGCACTCTCTCTGACTCTGGCTGATGACGATCAAACGTAAAGAACGTTCCTGCATGATAGCCGTACTCCAAATGTATGTGAACAGCGTTCGTTGCTTGTCGGTATGCAGTAAAGCGAGTCCCTCACTCCCCAATAGCCACTGATAACAAAACAACCTTCTCAACACTCATTCTTACAAAAAAAAAAAAAAATTGGTTTGAATAGTTTCCCAGCTTCAAGGATAACCTCGGAAATGCATTTTGACTTTGCTTGCCGTGTCCACCTGGGAGCGCGGCATCGGTCAGCGAGCTCGACGGGGTCGGTAGCTAGGTGTCCACGTACAAGGGAGGACGTTGCGGCTGCAACGCGGACGGTGTCTCCATGCCGCCGTAGGAGGAGTGCCCCGCGGAGGAAGCCTGCACTAGCCGCGGCCCCATGTACGCCGCCACACTGCCGGGCACCGAAGGCGCTCCGAACGGGTTGCTCAGGTTCAGTCCGAACGCGCCGGGCAGCAGCGGCCGCATGGCCATGCGCAGTTTCTCCAGTTCGGCCTCCTTGAGCCGCTTCTCCTTGGCGCGTCGGTTCTGGAACCAGATCTTGACCTGGGCACGCACACACATCCCGAGGTCACAAAGGGGTGCAAGGGCGCGCGATGGCAAGAATACTGAACTCAGCTCGATATTCAAGGTGTGCAGCTCGAATCCCCTCGCGGGGAAGAGGGACACTAGAGTGTTACTTCGTCACTTGAGTGACGTAACGGTCGCACGTCATGAATGTTCACGATCAACACACCAAAAGCCAATATGGTCCGCTCAGACTCCTCGTCGACTGAAATATTGTATAGGATATAGGTGTATCTGAAGATACCAAGAGCTTGAGGACTGAGAAAATGTTGGCCAAAGTGGCATGCAACATTCGTCTGAGCTACACCAGACAGCAACACGCTACAAAATCTGGTGTGACATGCTCGCCCGGTCAACGCACTGCTCTCGGACCACGCTGCGCCTAGCAGTTTCTGCAGCGCACGGAGCCAGCGCTGTGCTGAACGAGAAAAACAGAACACTTTTCATTCAGAAAACCTCGTATCTTTAGAAGGATTTTGCAACGATATTGGGTAGGAATGTTTCCCACTAGTGCCAGCTTACTGACACTTGTGGGATCCAAGAATACTCGAGCATAACGCCACTGACTAAGAAGCGTCTTCGTCGCGGTGGAATTCCAAGGATAAAAGTGGACCTTTCCTTTCAGTCTCTCCTTCACAAAACTTGATGACGGAGCTGTGGGGGCAATGCCAACAATGCGATCTCCAGGAGTGCGTCATCAAGCTTGGCGATCCCCGCTGTGATGTTATATAAATGCCGCTCAAACAGTGGACACGAAGACTGCGTAGGCATTCGATTTGGGCTCGTGGCAATCGATGCCCCCGCATGCATTCGGGTAATGGCTCGTGCTCAATAGTTGAGATAACGGGAATAGCCGAACCTTAACAATGCCTGGCACTCAGCGCGCACCCTGTGCTCTGCCAGCCCCAACGCGAGGATATATGAAAAACATCGGCCCCAGATCACGTAACCGCCTTTTCTGGCTGTGAGTTGAGGGGGTAAACGGTGTTCGTTTTTCTCAGATTTTTTCTGCGACTGCCATTGCTTAGGGAAAAATAGAAACCAGTGTTTCAAAGGTCAGAAATGCCAAGGAATAATTCTAAGCTGTATTTATTTAAAATTAAAAAATCGTCGCATCGCCCTTTTAATTATTACTAATAATCGATCTTAACAGATTGTACCATAATGTTATTAATGGCCAGTCCTTTTTCAATAAACGTGGATCACTTAAAAACGGAAGGAGTGTCGCTACTCTGGAACATGTTAAAGGGTATGAAACACCGTCGTTGTACTGAATAGAAACCTCAACCCCAAACAGCATGGAGACGCATTTATTAAAAAACCGCAATCGCAGTCGTTGTTGTTGTTGTTGTTGTTTTTTCGCATGGATTTTAATGGATACGGACCTGTGAATTCTACCGCACACTTTGGCCGATGCTAGGAGGTAAAGCACCGCCGAACATCTAATTGTGTTATTTTGCTGCTTTACGTTCCTTGCTTTGTCGTGAGAGTAAAAATTGTGTCGTCAACGGAAGCACTGCAGAAAATTTGCGGTGATCTCGTCGAAAATATTAATCACATCATAAGCCCGTGCTTGCTTACACTGCTTGCGTTTCGGATCGCGAGCACAGTCAGCGCCTTCGGTCTGAAGGCTTTTGAAATTGTCGTGAAACAGGGAAGGGCTTCAGACCCCCCAAACCAATCCAACCCCCCCCCCCCCCCCCTTGCCTACGCCACGTGCGATCTCCTCTTTGCAAATATGAGCTAATGTTTCAACATCTTATCTATTTTTATTCAGGAATGTTTGTTGACCAGCAAACGAACGACTAAAACTCAAAAGTTTCTCGGAAAAAGCAATTAAAGTAGAGTACTAATTACCGAAACAAAAGTGTAATTGAAAGTTACTAAAATACTCAGAAAAGTATTTAAACTACAGTAACTTGAGTAGAGTAGTTGAACTACGTACTAGTCTGAGCAGGCGGCAGGCGAAATGCTGGAGCGAGGGAAATGTGTCCTCCTCATCTCTCCAGCAACCCATTTGCTTCCTCCTCCCCCAACATCCCTCTCCCTGGCCCTCAACTCTTAGCTGCGGCATGTCTGGCTCGGTGTTCGAAAAGTCTTACGCAACAAGCGATGTCTTCGAATAAGTCACAGAAATTCGTGTCGTGTGATTTGGTTCGGCAAATGACAGCTTGTACCGCATCGTGTTGCATCTACACGGAGCCCTACCATCTCGTTTTTGTGTTTGTGCCGTTGTTCTGCTGGGCCCACATCAACATATTTTCGCGGAGAAAAATATTTTATTTTACTCCGTTGGTGAAGATACTCTTATTAACGAAACAACTGTTTATTTATGGAATATAGACAATGCACTCGTTTACATCCCTTTGAAGATTATATTATTTGATATTAAACTTTTGGGGGTACTACTCATAACCCAAAGAAACTTCCCCCGCTATTCTCCTCAATCACTCCTTCAGCGGGTGCCCCGACCACTGCCAAACTCGACAAACAAGGATCCACACAAAGGCGGGCGAGCCGAACTCCTCCACAGCCGTAAGGGGTCCCAAGTTTGCGAGTTAGCGGGCGGAAGACTCCACAACCGAAGGGAATCGGACGTGCAAGTTGGCCTCCAGAGGCAGGGTGATGATCACGGCATGGTGTCGAGCCCCAAAGCAAATAGGAACATCCCAAAAACAAGTGCATACACAAGACAAAACAGATTCCGAACGAAGCTCACAAGAGCAGTCATAAACAATACAAAGCACATTCGTAGACAGAAAGGTTATACACGAAGCAATCAAACTCCGAAGTAGAGATCCTAAAAGCAGACATGCGCAAAACGAGATATCTCCGACGCGGGGTTCTATAAACTAAGTGTAGCGTTACAGCGTTCATGCCCGCCCCCATTTGGGGCCCCCCGACTCCGGCAGAATCCATGAGCCGTGCCGTGGAGACGAACGAACTCTCGAAGAATGTAAAAACAAAGTAAAGCTGGACTAAACACTCGCGCGAACAAAACTTCGCGACAATATATATCGGAATACATGTTTCAAGTCCGCTAAGTTTATGGTAAGTGCACTGCAACCTGCTTGTTTGCAACAAGTGGCCGCTGTTCTATGGGTACTCTTCCAGCTCATCTATAGAGTGACGCAGTGTCTATTCTCCTGGCAGCGGGGACAACAATTTCACCGAAAATCTACCGGCAGTCGCCTCCCTTCCGAAATCATGCGACCACTGCCGGTAGAATACTGAATTATTTCGTCTCCCAGCTGTTCGTGGAAACACGTTTCATAGAAAACTTTTCGTGTATACACGTTTCATGGACACGTTTCCTCGACACTAACATACCACCGACACTCGATCGTTACGCGAAGTGCACGCTGCCGGGACATTTTTTGGCGGGTGTGTCACAGGCCGGCAGACCCGTACACGCAGCTTCACGGCGACATTCTGCAACGGCTCATTACAAGAATGTTAACCCACGTGGCCCACCCTACATGCCATTTGCGGCCACAATCTAGAGTGACTTGTTACCAAAAAGAAAAAAAAAAAACCTATTCATACGTGTCTGTAAAACAATCTGCCGATGACACAGCGTCTCAATTAAACAATCTGTAAATACAACGTTGTTCGATGAACGGATTGTCACCGCCAATGAGAGTCGTCTGCCAGTAGAATTTCGAGGGAAATATTTTTTCCAGTTCCCGGGAGAATAGACAGTACAGCCTAGAATTACCCCGGCTCTTGTTTGCTTTGCAATCTTTTCAGCTGGATAAAAGCTTAGTAGCACCTTTTTAGATTTTGCAGATCGCTTGCACGTTTGTACTTGTCTACGGAACATGCTGTGTGTAATAAACTTTTAGGAGATTTGAAAACAATACTTTGTGTCAGGAGGCCTGCCTGTTTACAAACACCTGTGCGAGTACATTTTCTTTACGGGTTTCCTTCATGTTTTAAATAGGTTAATTCTGTTCGGGACGTCTTAAATAAGTTCGAGATATCTAACCTTCTAGACGGTACCCATTTAGAATTACCGAATAATTCGCCTGGGTGCAAGATGGGCTCGCTGAGCACGCGAAGCGTGAAGTATTGCGATCTAGACCAAGGTTAGGAAATGGGAACTCTAAATTGTGTCTTCAACCTGAAACTATGACCTGCACCGAGATATAAGAAGGGAAGGGCACATAGGCACCACTTTCGGTGCCAAACTACTTTTTTTCCTTTTTTTTTTTTTTCAGGGGGGGGGGGGGGGAGTGGATATTTCAAAGCTTTGTGACTACGAGTATTATCCGGATACTTTATGGCAGGGATCGGCAACAGGTGGCCCGTGGACCAATCTTATACGGCCCTCGGCACACCACCAATAATACCCTGCCCCCCCCCCCCCCCCCCACACACACACACGCACCCACAACCTCCACAAGGACAAGAGATATGTTTGGTTGCTAACCCGGAATTAAAGGCCGGATTAACTCTGAACAAGTTAAAAGTATTTGCCAAAGCTGACCAGCCGATCCTGAAACGAGCAATAAGCTGAAGATTGCATTTGTAGTGAACACTTCGTTGAGTTTTCCGCTGACCTCCTTTAATTTTTTTTTTTTTTTTCAAGCAACAGCTTTGATCGAAGTTTCCGCTACAGCACGTATATGTACATCTGCGAACATACTTTTACAAGCTGAAAACTGTAAAGTCAAACGCGGTTCTTGTGAATGACAGATGAACACCTCCAATATGGTTCACGGCATCTTCGCAAGAAATATTGAACACCCAACATTTTACTGAGAGGGGATTCGAGAAATCTTATGTTACGTGTGCCTGAATCAAGATGGCATCTTTGCATATCATTTTTAGCATAGTACAGTTTTTTTTCTTCCATTTTCGTAAGTTAGACCTCGACCTGCCCCCTCCCTCTCCCCCCCCCCCCCCCCCCCCCCCTTATCTCCGTTCCTCCGTCCGGCCCGCTCCGTCTCCGCTTTGCGACGATTTGGCCCGTTACAGAAAAGAGTTGCCGACCACTGCTCTACGACGTAACTGACACTCGGTATATTCATCATTGAAGAGTGATGAAGATAAAAAAAAGCATGAAACGCTTTTTTAAGGGAATCTTCTAATCCTAAACATTTGTCGGTCCGTCCGTCCGTTCGTGCGTCTTCCCACTAAATTTAACGAGAAAATTGACGTCACGTGACCTGACGCCACGTGGCCTATAGACCAATTTAGTTCCCTCGCTAAATTTAGCGGGGAAACGGAATTGGTCTAGAGGTAGCGTGACGGAAATTTTCCCGTTAAATATAACTGAAAAGTGAACGGACGGACGGACGGAAAATATTTTAGGGTTAAGGGGTTCCGCCAAAAAGCGTTGCTTGCTTTAATAAAACAAGGTGCCCGAAACGTCGGCAAATTTTATCCAGCGCCAGAGAGGGCGCCCCAAGGTCCTTGGGGGTTCTGACCTGAGTCTCTGTGAGGTTGAGCGACGAAGAAAACTCGGCTCTCTCGGCGATGGACAGGTACTGCTTGATGCGGAACTTCCGCTCCAGGGCAAGCAACTGCTGCGTCGTGAACGGAGTCCGGGGCTTCCGGTTGCTCTTGTGCCGTCGCAGCTGGCACTTGACCGCCGCTGGCATCGGGGGCACCTCTCCGGGTTCTGTGCACGCGCAGGGAACAAGCGGGCACTTAAAACACGGTTGGGGACGAAAGAAAAACATGCAATACAGTGAGTGTAGCGTACGGAGTCGATTGCGGGCCCTGCAAGTGCGTGCTCAATAGGCGCTACAAAAAGACGTTACAGGCTCCGTCTGACAACGTAGCAAATGGCAAAAACGCTATAGTAAATTCACAGATGTCGATTCAGGATCACACTCCATCTCCAAAGTTATTTGCGGTGAAATCAAATGCACGACTGCAAGGACGTGGTTCTCTGCGACTTGCTTTGTTTCCTCGATCAGTCACGCCGGGAAAGGACATTCTAAAGTCGCGCACACGTGCCCGTAATTGCCACAACCTTGTAAAGACGTACGAAAGATGTTGATTCATTTATTTTCCTGGGTATGATATAAAGCAGCAAGCGTGTTAAAACAATCCTGAGCATGATGTGACAGTGCGAGTCTAACGTTCCAAGAGACAGGATGTCGGGAGAGTCCTGGTGTGAACCAAGAAAAGTCTAGATTTGAAGCGACGCTCCGTAATTAAATTTACCACAAAAGTTTTAAAAAAGTAAAAAAAGATTCATGAACGTATGACTGCAGTTTATGGTGAGTCTGCCCAATCATCCTACAAAGTAACCTTTTGGAGCAAGCAGTTTAAGTGCGTTGAGAGTCCATCGAAGATGACCCTCGCACTGGACGACCTGTGCAAGCAACTTTCATAAAAATTTGCAAAAAAACGTCGAGGATTTAATTTTGTCAGATAAACAAATGAAGGTTTCCTCAATTGCTGAAGAAATTGGAACGTCAGCATGTTCCATTTGAAAAATAATTTATTAAAAGTTGGTCATATCAGAGGATGGGTTCCAAGAATGCTGACGCGATGTCAGGACTCAGAAGGCCACGAGGCGCCAGCGTTGGAGATGCTCCGTCAAGGGCACATAATTCTTCTTTTTCTCTTTTCATTTTGGTGACTGGAGATGAGACTCATTAATTTATTTATTTAAATATACTGCGACCTGAAATCAGGTCATTGCAGGAGTGGGATACACAGGTGAAAAATAGATTAGTAGTGCGAACAATAAACAAGACCATGTACAAAATAATGATTCGCCAGTCACACATAAAAAAAGATATCAAGTTCAATAGTTTCTGAACGAAGTCGTCGTACTGGAGTATACGCGTAGATCCATTAGTACCGTTCCAAGATTGAGCCGTGCGCTGAATAAAGGAATTTTAAAACAATTATTATGAGACTACAAGGGTACAATATTTAAAGGATGGGATCGCCTAGAGCGCGTGATGTCTTAACAAGAAATGTATTCTAATCTATATTAATGCCTAATCTATATTAATGATATCCACCTTAATATAGCTTCTTCTGTACGCCTGTTCGCCGACGACTGTGTCATATACCGACGCATTCTTTCATGCCACGATCATCATGCTCTCCAGGAAAACCTTCAGTCTGTAATTCATTGGTGGGAAAAATGGCAGATGACGTTAAACTTTAATAAATGTAGATTCCTATCATTTTCCCGTAGTTCGCGTACCACACCATTTTCGTATTACCTCACTTACATTGAGCATACTAAGCAATAGTATGCTCATCTTATAAATACCTGGGTGTTCATCTCACCTCTGACCTATCATGGACTACTCACGTCACTTCTTTTATTTCTGATACTAACCGTACTCGGATATTTGCGCCGTAACCTCAAACTTGCTACACCCTCCGTAAAACGACTAGCGTATACTACTCTTGTAAGATCGAAGTTAGAATACGTCTCATCTATATTGTCTCCATAGCAGTCCTACCTCGCAAATAATCTAGAATACATCCAAAATAGAGCCCTTCGTTTTATTCATAACGACTACCCACCATATACCAGCATATCAGGATTACGCAAATCGGCTAACGTTCATTCACTTTCCCTTCGCCACCAAGTATCACGCCTTCCTATTTTCCATAGAATTCTTTATCACAATAGCCACCTCAAAGAATTACTGCAATCACCTCCCCATCGTTTTTTTCCCGCGTCCAGATCACCTATGTAAATTACGTCCAATTCGATCATGAACTGTTTCTCACCAGACTTCCACACTATACCATTGGCCACTGAGGTTTGGAATTCACTACCTCACAACATTGTTTCTATTAATGATGCTACTAAATTTGTTGAAGCCATTACCCTCTCTTTAACTGACCTACCAAGACATCTTACAGTGCTATACGTGTGTTTACTGTTCTATCTTTTTTTTTTTTTTGTTCTATTGCCACCTCTTTGTTTTCTTGAGGGCCCCACGGGCCCTCAAGGAAAATAAATGGTCATGATGATGATTTCATGCACTCAATGCCACTATTTTCATTAACAATTCTATGTAACATTTTCAACCGCTCGACAGTTTACCCAGAAAACAGACTCTAGCCCTAATGTTGGCATAGCGGATGAAGATGAAGAGTGTCGATGCTATCTATTGGAAATAAATCGGACAGCTTTGGCCAGCATAGAGTCGATAAGATTAATGTTCTTTTTTAGATAAGCGTCTCAAACTACAAAATCATACTCTAAAATCGGCCTAACAAGGGCTTTAAAAGCGGTTACTTTGACCTCTTTTGAAGAACATTTCAACGCACGTTTAACGTATCCTAATTTCCTAAGGGCGTGAGAGCAAATAAAGTCAAAGTGTCTGTCCCCTTTAGGGTTAGATGAAAAAATTATACCCGAATATTTGAACTCATAAACCTACCTTAACTCAATCTCATCATTACTTTAGTTAGAAACCAAAGGCGATTTCTTCGTAGACTTCATGAACACAGTCTTTAAAAAGTTGATTCCATTTGTCATTGTTTGCTCCAATTAAAAAATCGCACGAAGGATTCATTAGGTAACAGTTGATCATTAACCGAATTAACATCATTATACAGAAAGCAATCATCGGCACAAAGAGGAATTTTAACCCGTATGTTTTCTACAATATTATTAATAAACAGAAGAAATAAAAAGGGGTCCTAACACCGATCCTTGCGGTACACCTGAACTGGTCGTTACTTCTGAAGAAAGAGCATTACCAATGCTTATTTTTTAATAATCAATGGCCCAGTTAAGTAAAACGGGATTTTTAAGTACGACGTTCACCTTCAAAAGTAGTTTGGAATGCGAAACTTTATCAAATGCTTTCGAATAATCTAGGAATATCGAATCAACCTGCCTTAGTTTATTCAAAGACGAAGCAATATCCTGTGTGAATTCCAGGAGTTATGCGGTGGTTGAAAAAGGACCACGAAAATCGTGCTGCTGAGGGCAGATGATTGAGTTGCTTTCAAGATAATCATAAATATGACCGTAGACTATATGTTCCAGGCGCTTACTAGATGAAGTAATCAATGAAATTGGTCTTTAATTGACGAGGCTCTGTTTGTTTCCAGATTTAAAAATGGGAACAACTCTGGATTATTCCAAAGTTCAGGTACGATTCCAGAAGAGAAAGACTTCTCGAAGATTAAGGTCGAGTATCTCGATGTCCAGAGAAAATAACGATGAAAAAATTAGGAATACCATCAATACCCGAACTGTTCTTACAGTTCATGTTTAGGAGCAAATTGTGGGCACAAGAAACACTGATCAGACTGTTTTCTTATGATGAACACGTAAAATTAAAAGGATAAGAAGGTTCACAACCATTATCTTTAATAAATAGAGATTGAAAATATGCATTAAAGCCATTAGAAATGTCTACAGGCAGAGACACATTGATCTTGAATAATAAAACTGCGTGATCATTTTGGGGAAGGATAGACCTCTAAACCTTAGCCGGATTTGACTTCATAAACTGAGTCAGCGTAACATTAAAATAAGTATATTTTGCAGCTGTTATTTTTTTCTGCTAACTTATTCCCCAAGTTTTCAAACCAGGTTACATCCGTAGGATTAGCACTGTGACTCAGTTTCCGATTTCTTTTTAGTCTACCAGTTAATTGTAATACCTCTCCAGTGATCCATAGCTAAGTGGGATTTGTCTTTTTGAATTTGACTGGGACAAATATTTTATGCCGTCAATCACTAATAAACAAAATTTGTTAAGCAATATATCCACACTATAGTCATGACTTAGGGTTTTGAAATCATCAAAGCCAAAACTAAGCTCATCAAGATTAGACACATCATCAGCTCTATAGAAGTCTAAAACGGTAACAATCTCGGGATTTGCTTTCATGTAAGGCACGAGTATTAAACGTTACAACGACAGCTCTGTAGTTTGAAAGACCTTCTACCACTTTACACTCCTAACCAGACTCGGTAATGCTATGACTAACGAAAGAAAGGTCAAGAATTGAATTATCTCCTTGTGCAATCACCAACAACTTGATCTAAATTGAGTGACACACCAGTGTCAACAAGGGTATCACCTTTAATTTTATTTCGACTACCAACCATTACCGCTTCCCAATTAAAGTCGAGTGTGTTAAAACCTCCCGTCCAGACGAATTCGCTGCTGCCAAGATTATCCTTTAAAATGTCGTCATGAATATCGAAAATAACCTGAGGTGTAATACCGGGAGCTCTGAAAACGTTCCCAATAACAAGAACAAATTTATCGACATGAACTTTGCACTAAAGTGACTCTGTGTTTGGTAAGCTGGGAAAGACAGAAAAACTAACACCAGACTCTAAAAACCAAAGCAACACCGCCGCCCTTTCCACAGGACCTATCGCAACTTACAACAACATAGTTAGGTGGAGCAAATTCACAGTCGAGTATGGAGTCATGCAACTAAGTTTCAATAACACAAATCACATGAGGAGAGTAAGCAGCTGTCATGCGAGCAAATTCAGGGGACTTTGAAAGAATGCTCCTTGCATTAGAACTGAATAAAGTGAAAGAGTTTTCCTGGATATGTCAAGTATCATGACTTGGAAGTCGGTGGGGAGGAACCCTTACAAGGCAGTGATTAGACGCATCCCACGTGTAGCGAATGTTATCAACTAGTGCATAATTA